TCACCGGACAGTTGCATAAGGGGGTTCTTGCCCGCCCTTACGTTCTTCCTGGTGACTGAGATAAGTTTAGTAAAATGGCCAAATGCCATTATGGAAAGGAGATTCAATGTGACCCCTTCAGCAGTGCGACTTCCAGCGGGAGCTCTCACCCACCCATGGGCCCCTGGCAGTACTGGTTTTTTTTGTATTTTTAAAAGTCACTGTATTTCAAGCGTAGCCCTTGAGCATCCATTCTGAGCAGGCCCATGTAGGTAACACTGCCTACGGTCAAGTATGACTGCCAAGCGAGAGGTCCATAACCCAGTGAAAAGCCCTGGGTTCTACGGCCCTCAGCTAACACGGACTTTCCATTTTTCTCCCAAGAGGAAGACAAAACAAAAACAAAGAGGAATCTGTGTCCGAGATCACCCATGGCTCTCGAAGCCTAAAACAGGTGCCACCTGGCTCTCTGCAGAACACGCTGGCTGACCCAGCCCCAAACCACTGAAGACTTGGGGACTCCCTTCACCTTCCACTGGATGGTCTCTCTGGTAATAAACGATGGTTGTCCATCTGTCAGCTGTTGTCCATGAGGTTATTGTGGGGATGGACGTATCGGGGGTCTGAGAGAGGTCTCTGGGACTGGCTGTTCACACCGTGAGCGGTCTTGTGGGGAGAGGGTCAAGGCACCTGTTCTAGACCCGAGAGGGGCAGCACAAACGCTGTGCAAACAGGAGACCATTTGCAGGCCTGGATTTTTTCGATGACCCAGGCTGAGGCCAGAATCAGAGCCTGGCTCTCCTGATCTCTACTCATGATCAGAGCTGTGTGGTCTGGGGAAACGAACAAGCTGGTGAAAATGAAAACATATACCGACGGATCAAAGCTTGATAGCTATGTTAGCTGTGTTTCCTACCAATCGCAGCCAAAGCCGGTCTTTGGAGAAAGGGCCCCACCATCAATCTGTAGCCTCAAATTTCACAAGCCCAGCATTCCTGGACCGTCTCCCTGGAGTCTGACATCACCATCCCATGGATGCAGCCAAAGACAGAGGAGGCTGATTTTCTTCTCTTCCAACTCAGGGCTTTAGAGTCACTGCTATCACAGCGGTCTCGGAATAGCCTTTTTTTTTTTTGCCTT